GGCAAAGCTATGATGGACCAAATCTTCTTGGTGAGAACGATGATGGAGAGAGCGGCTGAGTATAATATACAGACCCACCACCTCATTGTGGATTTCCGAGCTGCCTATGACATTGTGATTCAAGAGGAGCTTTATGATGGAATGACCGCTCTTGACATTCCTCTGAAGCTAGTCTGCCTTGTTAGAATGATCATGAAGGTTATAATCAGTGTTTGGTGAGAGTTTCTGAAGTTTCATCTGAGTTTTTCCGATACCACCAGGGACTCAGACAAGGTGATTGTTTAGCATGCTTGCTGTTTAATGTTGCATTGGAATGTGACATAAGGAGTTGGAAATCAAAATAGGAGGGACGATTTTCAACAAATCACACCAAATTCTTGATTATGCCGACAATTTGGATGTCGTAGGACACAGTTTTCAGACTGTGGAGAGTGCCTTTATAAATTTGCAAAATGCAGCAGTTAAATTTGGACTGCAGGTGAATGAGTCCAAAACAAAGTATATGCTCTGCAATCCTAAAAGAGCAAACTATCTAGGAGAGAGAGTAAAAGTTGGGAACTTCGACATTGAATGTGTTGAGGAATTTATCTACCTTGGGACAATGTTGAACTCGACTAATAATATGCACACCGAGATTCATGGATGGGTAATGGCAGCTAATAGATACATCATGGGCTACCCGTCCTCACCTATTCATCTGAGTGCTGGACGATGAAAAAAGCACTATAATCAGCTCTTTTGAGATTCAAAAGGATTTCAAAAATAATTATGGGGTCTACATGTATCCACGGTGTATGGAAATCGATGAAAAACACTGAGCTCATGAATCTCTACAATGACCTTGATATCGTCTATTTAATAAAGGTTGGACGTATAAGATGGGCAGGATATATTGCACGCATGAATAGTAATGAAGTATCCAAATTGCTCCTAGAAGAAAAAATATTTCGATATAGAAGAGTTGGAAGACCTCATATGTGTTGGGTGGATTGCGTAGCAGTAGATGCTCAAAGGCTGTTGGGTATAAGAAATTGGAAAGCAGCAGCACAAAATAGAGGAGACTGGCAGCCCTGGCTGAGGAAAGCCTTAACTCTCCAACGAGTTGTGAAGCTATAGAATAAGAAGACTGTATAAGTTAAAGTAAAAATTATAAAAGGTTCAACTACTTTATTTCAAACAATTAAATACAATATTTTCCCCCACCAATCTAAACTGTTAAATCTATACATTTTTCATCACTATCCATTTTCTTTAAGAACTGTATATTTTAAATATTTATTTTATTATAAGGGTACCATAAATTTGTCTTTGTCCAATAAGAGTGCCAAATAAAAACAAATTTGATTTGTTGTAATCAACTTATAGGCAGGAAACCTTTTTATTTGCTTACACATAGGTACATTTACTAATTTTAATTTTCATATTGCTGTAATCTATATAATTAAATATTAGGTAATACCAGAGCTAGCATTGATAAAAGTCATACATTGACTATCGGAGTTTGTGCTTTCCTTGCTTAGATATAGCATGTGTTGTGTTTAGAAGCAAACCTCTTGGTTACCTCCGAGCATACTGGATACCTTTACTGGTTCTCAGTCCCATTTGACAACTTATTTCTCATTTAGTTAAGTATATAATTCATTCATAGTTCATATTTCACCATTTTTTATTAACATTTACAGTGTGAACTGGTTAATTATTTTAAATAAAAAAATTATTAAGACTTAAGGGAAAGAAATTTTGAAAATTCAATATAAATATTGATATAGATATAAATATTATAAATAGTCCTGACAGACTATTTCAATGAGGATAATACTTAGCTGATATTTAAATACCACTTAATGCTACATTTATGTAATAAGTTTAATCAAAATCGTAAAAGCCATTTTTGAGAAAACTGTACAAACAATGATATATTAAGTGCCACTTCTGGTTAATCCATCTTAGCAAAAACATTATTATAACATCCTAGACATATTTCTTTCGTTTGGCTCTACAGAACTTATATATCTTTGGCCGCCTGAACAAGCCTTCTCCACCTCTGCCTATCTTGGGATACTGCTTTACAGTTTTTGGCGTGAAGCTCAGCCTTATCTTTGTTCAGCCATATCCTATCTATCCATCTGGTTTTTGGCCTCCCACCTGGTCTCTTGCCTACTACTCTGGCATTCATTGTTGTGTAAAGGTGTCCTACTGGATTGCTTCGAGCTACATGCCCTGCCCATCTTAACCTCCTTGCCTTCATATCATGAGAATCCGAGACATATGCGCCTACCTTTAATAGGTAATTTCAGTTTCATTCAATATTTTGTTTTTGAGTTAGGCTGCTCAGACATACACATACAGAGACACAGACATACACAATTTTTCAAAACTAGATTATTTGATTCATGGAACATAAAAATGTGTATTTCCATTGACAACTCACAAAATCAAAATGTGAATAAAATTTTTTCACAATCCCAATAATAGGAAGAAAGGTATATAACAAAAGGTATATAAAAAAAGGTATATTAGTAAGATAACGAGGAAATTTGTCTAGAAAATTTAACAACCAAAAAAAAAAAAAAAAAAAAAATGAAATTCAAATGAACCTACAAATAATTACAACACAAAATATCTAACTAACAAAGAAACAATAAATATGTAAATGTATTAAAAATAGATTTGTTAATAGATAAAAACATAATGTTAGATACTTATTACAAACTAAAATATAAAAATAATATAAAATTAGAATTAGTATAAAAAGGAAATTAGCAATGATGGTATTAAAAAACTAATTTACAATGTGAACAAAATAAATAAAATACAAAGGAAGTAGTCAGCAATATGTTCTGCTTTAAAATTATTTACCAAGATGCAATTCTAATTGTTTTTCTGTTAAACCTAATCTTCTATTGTTTAAAATATTTTAAAACTATAAAATTATCTCTCTACACTAACAGAAAAATTAATTTATAATTGTAATCTAGAATTTTATCTTCAATATTTCATTTTTATTTTTTGTTAATATTTTTTAGAATTATTAAAATCATCAAAATATGCATTTATCATCAAGTATGCAAAATAAAATTAGGCTAACTGTATCTGATTATGCTGTTTGGTAAAGGTCATCTCTTTATAAAATGCATGCAAACAAAATATGTAATTGCTTGAAAATTCAGGCTATGCTCAATGACCTGCATCATTAACCTCTCCCCACTACTGATTATCCACTTTTAAAGTAATTTTAAGTATGATTTTTTTCATTTTAATTGCCTGTTTGATAAATGGATTAATTATAGAACACAAATATGTGAATTAAAAAAAAGTTAACATTCTTATCAATTTATTTCAAAATCGACCATTTATTTATTTATTTTTAAATTATTACAGTATAAAACACAATACAGTTATTTGTATACTATAATTTACAGTATAAAACACAATACAGTTATTTTTATACTGTAATTTACAGTATAAAACACAATACAGTTATTTGTATACTGTAATTTACAGTATAAAACACAATACAGTTATTTTAATACTGTAAATTTACCACAAGCATTTTAATACAGCATTGACAGGTAAAAAGTTGTCTCACTAATTGCAGATAAATAATGTTGTAAATTCTCAGATTTAAAAATCATCAAATTATTCACTAATTGATTTAATACTTTTTCAGAATAACCTGACGATAAATACCTAATTATCTAAATGTAATATCGGATATAAAGTTATTAAACTACAGTATATGTATGTTTTGTGTGAATACTATTTTACCCGAGCATCACATTGCGGCAGAAGTGAAAACAGATCAGATAAGATTTAATCCGCTCCAGCTATGAAACGCTCTCAGCCCATTCCATGGCAGAAATTCCCAGAGACAACAATTGGAGCAGACTAAAGGGCCCTCTCAGTTAAGTATGATGTCTATGCCAGCATAAAAGGGTGAATTTTATTTTACACAATCATATAACCTACCACTTAAATCAAAATACAGTTCACTACTAAAATAAGTCAAATGTTGCCTATGTTGAACTAATTAGAGTTATTTGCCTTTACTTTAATTACATTTGGAAAGTTTCCTAAACATTTTGGTCAACCAGACATGATTATATAGTTTTTTTTTTACCATATTAGCGATGTTTGGCCGTACATAAAGAAGGAAAATTGTCAGGTACGTTATGAGAGTTTTTGTAAAAATTGCCTATTAATTAGTTTTTTAAAAATATATCTTATGTCATTTCTTATGCTTTCGTTACGTATTTGGTGAAGTCAAGCTGTTTCCAGAAATTTTCAGGAAAGAACGCATAATGATTTGCTGGAATTAAGTGACTTTGTTGAGCCTTACATTAATCCTTGTTTGTCTTGGCCGGCATTATTGAACTTTCCATTTATTTTTGAGAAAATTGGTATTGCCTTCAGCAATTAAAATTTAATTTTAAATTTTAATTTTCTTAACAACTTTGAAGATGGCACCGACTAAGAGTACTGGGGGACTGAAAGCTATTAATGATAAAAAGGAAAGGCTGTTTCTTAAAATTCAAACAACTTTGGAATTGACTCCTCTAAAGCCTAGCTATATTTTTTTCAATTATTTGACTTTAAATTAAAGTTGCTATTGATATTGTACACAATTTTAATTCTAAAAATAGATATATTAGATTCTAAAAATTAAACACAGCATGTTTGATACCAAATCATTTCTATTCTGATAGTTGGCTCTCTAAGTTCTTTGAGTTCTGGGGGTTAAAATTTGGACAGAGTTAGAGAACGATCACCATGAATTATGGTATTCATACCATAATTCATGGTGATTGTTTTTTAAAAATAATGACCACTTCTGATTTAAATTTTGTTTTGTGAAAAAGATAAACATGAAAAATAACAAACATGTTGAAAACATTCTTAAGACTTGCACATAAATAATCTCTAAGCAAGATCAGAAAATGTAATAGTTGATTTACACAAACACACAAAATTTAATATTATATTTAAAATATAGTATTAAGTCAATTAATTACTGTCTCAATTCCTGAGTTGGTAGTAGTATAGGAACGTTGTTGAGGTAAAACAGGTTTGGGTTGTTGAGTAGATTTTGTTTTTCTTGAAACTTCTCCAGGAATCTGTTCATGGCTCTCATCATCACCAGGAAATATAAAGGGTCGCTGTGGGGGATCACCATTTCCATGCATACCTGTTAGTAGTTAGGGTAATTTTATTTAAGAAGCATTAATCAGTACAGAGATTAGACTAATTATATGATTTTTCATTCCACTCTTATCATTCCAGTAAACAAACATTAAGCAAAACCACATTAAGTAATTATGGGTAACATGCTATGAAACAGGAAAAACGTTGTAAAGCTTCAATGGATAATTTTTTACATTTCTAATATTAATTATAACAATAACCCCCTTTTTGAGTTGTGCCCCATTTAATTTTGGTATGCGAAATATTCTAGATAACTTGAAGAATGAATATTCATTAAAAATATAAATAAGTCTTGGCAATACATAGACAATTAATGAAATGTATCTAATGGATAGTAAAAATCTATGAAATCTTCCGAGTGTTAAAGAAAAAAACAAACATTAGTAATGGGTATTATCTAAATGGGACAAATCCTTTGAATGTGAAGGTTGTCTTATAAAAATATTGACCAGGTAGAGGATACTCAAACTGAGGCTAGGTAACAGGAATCATATAAAAGTATTATGTCTAATTGACCCATTTGTGGATTCAGCTTCCCCACATTATATCCAAGCCAGCTGCAAGAAGAATGAGCAATAGCTGTTGCACAATTAACCTCCATTAACACAATGGGATATTAATAAACTAATTGCACAGATTTTAAGAGGGTCCTTTATAAAACTATGAGATAAGGCTACTAGGAGGCATTATTGGTGATTCTAGAAGAGAAAAAAGCAACAGTTCTAGAATCTAGAAATTGCTTTTAATTCTTAGCATGTCACTTGAGCTAGGCAAAGAAAAGAAAACTGAAGAGTTTGAGAGCAATAAAGATCATATCGTATTTTAAACCATTGCATATAGGACCAGTTAGACTTTTTATGGCATTGGTAAAGAGATTCAGTTGGGATATGGTGGGAATCGCATCTCAAAATTTATCCAGTTTCTCTGAAATAGTAGTAGGTATGTGGGTGATTTCAAGCTTTAAAATTCAATTTCACAAACTATGTAGAAGCTTGCTATAGGTACAGGCTAAGCTTTTGTAGTTTGTTTGAATTGGCAACAAAAGCTACAATAATTCAATTTATGAAAAATAAACTAAACAAAGGCTTATGAAAACAAAAAAAGCAAATGTTATGTATGAAGATGTGCATGTTGTTTTTCATATACTCATGTAAGCTATATCCTTCTATGTTTAACTGGAGTATTTTTATTTTAATAATTAAAATTATAGTTAAAACCAGTATCTTAGTTAAATGGTATCATTAAAATCAGAAATTTCCAAAATTGATAATTTACCTGGATCGAGTTGATTATGAGTTTGCTTTTCAATTTCTTCAGAGCTAGGAAAGTCTCCGGGTCGTGCTTTAACATTTATGGTTATGTCAGCAGAAGAACGACCCGCTAAATTGCAAATATTTGTAATTAGTAACCAAGTAAATTATAACATATATATAAAAAAACTAATTATTGTAAGTATGCTTTGCTTGTAAAATGAATATGTTAATTTTTATTAGATTTTAATATTTCTGACGTTTTGATTATCTGAGGATATATGGGGTAACTAATTAATTAGACAGTTCAATATTTTTTATGCAGTTGCTGAGTTATTTTCATTATTCAAAAAAATTCAGCTTCTGAATAAAAAAAATATTCATATAGCAATTTCTTCTATCTACGAAGATCTATTTTGTATCATTTTTTTATTTAGTATCATTCAAGGTTTTTGTAAAACCATTCTTTTTCTTTAAAAATTACTTAATTTTTATATTAAATTACATCTTTAATATAGGTGCCTTTCCTAACTTGCTTTCACCCTCCAATGTTATGAAAGTTTTTTATCCCCATCTTCAGATATATATTTTTATTTACATTTAAGTATATTTCCTCCTTTTTATTTATCATCTATATTCCATATACGTTCTCTGTATTTAAAAAAAAACTATAATAATTACAGAGAAATATTGGACTACTGGATTATTTCACTATCACATAACCTTTGATTATTATAATAATCCTATACTATTGTTACTTACCATATTCCTTCTCTCTGGCCCTATTTTTGATATATTTAATTAAACAATATTCTAATTAGTTTTCATTATAATTATATTTTATGGGTTTATTCATTATTATTCAAACAATATTTAATTTATTGATAATAATAATGAATGTAGGTATTACTCATATCTGTTTTGAATATGAGAAGAAGTACCTTAAGAATAACAAAGTGTTACAGAAAAAAAGAATAACATCTGACCAGAAAAACTGTTACATTAAAAAATAAATAGATAAAAAGCATTAAGTAAACACACTATATATACAAAATCAAACTAATGAGACTATTTAATAATACTTTTATATTTTTTAAAATAGAAATGTAGTGTATAAATAATGTTTTTTGCCATATAAATGGCTGCATATATTCATCTAAGATTAGTTTTATTTTCTCTGTTTAATATTAGTAGATTTTTAAAATCAACTAAGTGATTGCAAATGAAACTGTGTTTAGTAATTGCTGTTACATAGCTATTTTTAATATTTTTGCAATTGTCTGCTGTATGATTAGAGTGCTCAATTTTTTGGATGTTTCTTCTATGCATATTACATTATTCACATTTTATTTTTTAAATTACACTTTGTTCGTCCAGCATCTCTGTATTGTCTTTCATGTTTGTCAAATACGATTTTAATTTATTATTTCTATACATTCTGGGCTTAAAATTAAAACTATCATAGTATATTTAATGTATGTTAAAAATAAATACATTTTTAACAGAAGAAAATGTACATGAAATTGAATTATTCTGAATATTTGCTCTTTCCAACATTCATAAACTGGTTGTATTTATTCTTGTTTTCTAAAATTTAATCTTTTAGTCAAACTAAAACATTTTAAGTACTAATGATAACATTTTAGCTTCTCTTGCTAAGTGGGTACTAAAAGTATTGTTAACAAATATTAATTATAGAATATTTTGTGAATAACACAAAGTGTTCTCCAATTGATACTAGAACCAAAGTCTTGAGATGATAAGGTAAAAATACTATATATTTAAATGTTAAACAAACAAAGACTATGATGTTAAATAACTTTAAATTGTAAAAGTAAAAATTAAATACTGCTAAATGCAGCATAAATAAAAAACTCACCAAGACATGTAAAAACACCTGTATCACCATAACTAGCTTCTCTTATTCTCAATGCTCCTTTGTGAGATATTTTGTATTTTCTTGATGATGTAATAAGTTTATGATCTTTGGCCCATTGTATTTTTGACCTAAAAATAAATATTTACATTCATAAGTATTCCTTCATAGAATTTCAAGAAATTTATTATTAATACTTTTTTTTACTCAACTAGATTACTTAGATCATGATTTTTATATAATACTAGGATTTTTTATGTAGATAATATTACTTAATAAATTACTTGGTTTAACACAACTTGATCTCAAAAACCTAAGTAGAAGAAGAAGAAAACTAAATTTTATTCTGGTTCATTTACAGGATCACTCATAGTTACTTAAGAACAATGAAAATGAGTAACAGAAGTGACATTTGTCTGGCACAAAATGACACACAAGAAATAATTAAATTATCTTAAATTTAATTAAGATTTAAATTTATTTAATAATTAAATAAGAGTTATGTAACCTTAATTTTTTTTTTTATTCATTTATTGATATTTAGAACAGTATACATATATACATCAAGTAAATGTCTGATATGAAGAGATTAGGGAATTTGGAAAGAAGAATTACACGATTAACTGAATTGAAGGCTTTTTGAGAAATTTATGGCAGGATAGAGATTTTCTGTTTGTCTATGAAGTATTGAAGGTCTTGGGTAATTTTTAACAAAGCAGATTGAGTGGAGAACTGGTATCAGAAACCATACTGTAGGAATCGAAGAGACCTCTTTGCTCCAGGAAGGTATTAAGCTGTGAATTAATACTATAAACTGAATTAAATACTAGTCTTTCAAGTGGTTTTGAAAGGTTGAAGAGAATGGAGATAGGTCTGAAATCGGAAACTTTGGAGGGAATTGGAACTTTGTTCAGAGGATGAACTATAACTTTTTTTCAAGCTGATGGGAAAGTGTAATTTTATAAGGAAAATTTATAAATATGCAAAAGAACATATGTAAGTAAATGTAGATATTTGTAAAAAAAAAAAATATGTATAAGTAATATATAAGATATTACAGGTGATTTTGATATAGATGGTAATATGTTTGAACAGGTAGAGAAGTTTAGGTATCTAGGGTCTATGATAACTAGAAAAGCGAAATTGAAGAAGAAATTAAGGTTAGACTGAAGGCGGGAAATGCTTGTTATTTTTCTGTGACAAAACTACTTAGCTCACGCCTCTTGTCCCGGAACTTAAAATTAGAATCTATAAAACCATTATCCTACCTACAGTTCTTTATGGATGTGAAACGTGGCCGCTTACATTAAGGGATGAGCAACGTCTTAAGGTTTTTGAAAATAAAGTATTGTGTAGAGTATTTGGACCGAAGAAGGATGAATTAACCTGAGAGTTCAGACAGTTACACAACGCCGAATGGCGTGAACTGTATCTGGGTAATATAATTGATGTGATTTCATCCCAGCGAATCAATGGGCTTGCAAAATTGTTGGTCTTAGTAATGAGAGAATTCCTAAAAGGTTAATATTTGCTGTACCGAATGGTAAACATCCGAGGGGTAGATCGAAGAGAAAGTGGGAAGATTGCATTAAAGCCGATCTGAAGGGACTAGGTTTGGACGGCGAACAGTGCAGGGAGGTGTGTAATAAGCGATTGGTGGAGTCGGCATCGAACCTTCGAGTTCCCTGAATCTTTTATAATTATTATTATAAGTAATAAAAAACATATGAAACTGTTAAATCTGGACATGAATTATACAAAAATATAGGATTGTAATTCCCCTTTATTCCTTGTTTCAGTGGCGACTTTAGGCATTTGGTATCCCCAGGCAATTATATCATGAGCATTCTACCCCCCTCATCATAAAAATAAATGTATAATTTTGGAGAAGGAAATGAGACACATGTGAAGAACATGTATGTTACTTTATATATGAATTTATTTTTTTTAATATGACTCAAATTCAGTTGCTTTATTAATAAGCTTTCTAATTCTTGACAATTTTCAACACAATGGCATTTGCCTGAGTTGTCCTGTCCTAAAATTGGTATTGCCTTTAACCGAACATATATATAATCAATTTGAGAAATGTTTAGGAATGTTCTGACTAGTTTCTGTAATGTGTTATAAAAATAATAGAGAATCAAAACAATATGATTAATTTATAATTCGTGTTAATAATGAACATTGGACATTTTAATTAGTTTTATTATGTCACTGAGACCTGTTTGGGTATAAAAATGGAGTGACTTCTGAACTTCTTATGAATACAACATATCTCAATAGTACAGTCATATTTATACCATGGTCAGACAGATAATTATCAATTTGAATATAGAATTTCATACATAAATAAATTTATATTTATTAATAAAATTAAATATGAAACAAAATTTAATGAAATAAAAATTTAAATAGTTAAGATTATATGCAAGAAAATTGTTTACGTATGATAAGTTGTTTATAATTTTTATGAAATGGATCATTGAGGCAAAAATTAGGGAAAAAAATAAAGAAGGCATTATGTATTGTGGAAAATGGAACTTAAGGCCAATTCATGCACAGACAATACTCTTTGCAGATGATATATGCTCATAGTGGACTTCCTCCAGAATCTTCAACAAGCTAAATTGGAATGGGAAGTGGGGCTGGAGAGGAAAGCCATGATTATAAATGGAAGTAAAAGTTATGCACATAAAATGAGAACTTGAGGATGTGCAGATCTCCTGAAAAGAAGAAATCCTCAGCACAGAGAAAGAAGAAAAACCAGAAGAGATGAAACAGACAAGAGATCTTAAATTCACTAATAATTCCATCAAATTATACTTCGAAGTATAAAATCTGGAGAAATTGTTTTTAATGTCTTACTTTATGGTTTTGGTCTGCTGAATATGAATCTGAATTTATCCAACAACTTTTTTTTTCTCTTGCCCCCCTCTTGAGCCCAGATTTTTATGCAGTAAAAACTCACAAAATATGCTATTGAATATGTAATAAAAAAACCGTCAAATATGCAGTAATAAAACACAAAATATACAGTAAAAAAATCTGCATATATGCAAAAGTACAACCAAGATATTCATTTACACTAATGTTCTTAGAAAAAGTTTTGAACCAAAAAAGAAATTGGAGGAATGATTAAAAATTAAATAAAAATCATTTTCTTCTTTTTTAAACATAATCTGAAAAGTAAAAAGCGAAAACTAAAAATATATATTCATCAATGGTTAAAAACATAATATGAAATATGTTTTAAGACTTAAAATATCAAAGTAATATAAAGTTCCAATTAGTAATAAGTATAAATTGCAATAGGTAATTATATATAAATATATAATTGGTAATTGGTTGACTGTCGTGGATAATGAAGAGAAGAATAGTTGGGGTGGTCAGTCAAAAAGGAAGGCAAAAATAAATGATAATATTTATTTTTTACATATGCCGACGTTTCGACCTGACGTTCAGGCCTTCATCAGGGCTAAGAAAATAACCAGATAACAAGGTATGAGAAACATAAGTAGTGATGGTAAAAAAGATAATAAAAAATAAAATAAAAAAATTAGAAAAATAAAATAGATAAATATAAAGTAAAATGAAATTGTTAGAATAATGACTAAGAACTAAGAGATAAATAATAAAAACCGTTACAAAGTGTGGAATGATGAAGTAGGCATAATCAATAATGGGAATCTTAGAATAAAATGTAAAACATAAAAAAGAAATATGATATATATATTTGTGTTTTACATTTTATTCTAAGTTTCCCATTATTGATTATGCCTACTTCATCATTCCACACTTTGTAACGGTTTTTATTATTTATCTCTTAGTTCTTAGTCATTATTCTAACAATTTCATTTTACTTTATATTTATCTATTTTATTTTTCTAATTTTTCTAATTTTTTTATTTTATTTTTTTATTTTTTATTATCTTTTTTACCATCACTACTTATGTTTCTCATACCTTGTTATCTGGTTATTTTCTTAGCCCTGATGAAGGCCTGAACGTCAGGTCGAAACGTCGGCATATGTAAAAAATAAATATTATCATTTATTTTTGCCTTTCTTTTTGACTGACCACCCCAACTATTCTTCTCTTCTTTATATATAAATATGTTAATTGACAATATTTGATAAAGGAAAATGTTTTTTTTAAAATACCCAAATGAATATGAAAATAGTTTATACACAAATTAATTATAATTAAAATAATGTCAGATACTTATTAAAAATTAAAATAATATAAGTGTTACTCCTAATAAAAGAAAATTAGCTATGTTTTTGAATTAAAAAATAATTGCGAGATTGTTATTTTTGTTGACTGTTTTTTATAACAGTTATCAGGATAATAAAATAGGATTTTCAGTCAAGATTTGTTTTATTCAGCTTGCCGACATTTCTAATGTTACATTTTAATTTATTATTTTTAATTATTGATTGCTTTTTAAATATTCAAAATATGCACTTATCATCAAATATGCAAAAATATGTAATATAAAAGTTGACTATATGCATCTGTGTACACCGATTAGTGTTGCCCAAACGCAAGACCAAGAAGAGACCGAGGCGGTCTTGGTCTTGATATTGTGTCAACAAACCTTGCTCTTGGTCTTGTACACTCAGTCTTGGTCTTGCATTTGCCTACTAGCTCATTGCTATTTATTAAAAATGTATATATATATAAAATATAAAATGTGGATAGGTGGTGTAAATATGTGTAATAAATATATATAAAAATGGCTGTAAAGTCCGAAACATTACAATAAAATTTGAATGTATAAAATAATGTTTTAAATATGAAATAAAATATTGTGAGATAAAGAAGATTTTAGTAAAAACATAATCATATATATAGATGAAATATAATAATTATATAAAATAAATCTCATAAAAAATATGAATGACCTAAATAAGGTTGTTTATATAAATAAGATATATTTTATTAATTATTTATAGTTTTTTATTTTTTTTTTAAATGACCATTTTTCACCTATTGTTTGATATTGGTTAGCATGGGAACAATAAACCGTTCAGAAAAAATGTTCAGAACTTAGATTGTAGGGAATTTTCTCATATTTATAATAATATAGAGTCTCATTTTGCATAATGAGCTTACTTTGCATGCTTTAATATAAAAATTGCAATTTTTTTATTTTGCCAAAAAAAATTTTGTTGGGCAGTTTCAGATTAGTATTCGGTACATCCAATTATTATAAATGCCTGAATAAATACCTGAATATAAATACCTGTCAAATTTTTTAACTGGGCATTTAATTTTGACTGGTGATCCATGGAAAATTTGAGCATTACCACCAATTTTTAGATCAACTTCTTCTCGGCTTGAAGGATTGGATTGTATATATGATTGATTTGCAGCCATAATTTGTGGTCGTTGTTCTTCAGTTGGACAGGGTTTTGTGTTACAAGGTCTTATTTCTGGAGGTTTGTTTTTTGGACATTGAGATGCTGGTCGTGAAACAATATTTTCTTGGACCATTATTTGTTTACATTCTACTGTTCTTCTTTTAACTCCTCCTCCACAGCGTTTAGAGCACTAGAAACATATTCTTTTAAGTTAGAAATCAAGTAATATTTCATAGATTCGATGTCCAGTTATGAGAAAATATTTGACATTTACACAATATTTATAAAATACAGCTTACTAGGCCAACTTTAAATTTCATGATAAATAAAACTAGTCATCATTTAATATAATATATCTCATTCATGCATAGCATAAATCATAATTACGTTCATAAATCATAAATAACTTAAATTATGTTTGATAAGATTTTATATTTGCCATGTTTCTTTATTTAATGAAATAATAATAATAATAATGAAAGCCTAGTTATAGGATATAAAAAGAAAAAAAAAGAAATAATAATCAGGAAAATTATTTCTAAAACTGTTTCAATAAATGAATTTATTGGTATTAAGTGAATAATATAACATTTATTGCCACTTTGAACTCTGTGTAATGTGATAATAAAAGGATATGACACTCCTTGTGAAAAATAATTTTTTAAATGCATATCAAATATTAATGAAATAAATTATGAGTATTAATACAAGGAGAGTTTATTCTAAGGCAAACCACACCTGACCTGCAGATGGGGCTATGCTGACAAAAAAACATTAAATAAACACAGATAACAATTTTGTTATTAATTGAAAAATCCACACAACAAAGCCATGAGTTTCTAACATACAAGTGAATAGTTAACATGCCAAAATTAATGCAGGAATCATCAGGGCAGAAAAACCAAGATGATAAAAAAATTATTGCAGTAGACATCACATGAAGCCACCCAAATACATACTTAAAGTATATATGTTGGGGACTCATGGTTTTGTAGAGTTGATTTTTCCATTTGTAACATAATTACCTTATGTCACTTTTCTAGTTTTATGCTTATTTTAATGAACAACAATTTTTATTAAAGAATAAAATAAGAAAAAAAATATTCACTTACTCCCAAAGAAATGAAAATTGTTTAATATATAAATTACATTTCATAACTCACCACAACTAATTAAAATACTAATGAATAGAAGGTATGAAAGTTTTCAATAAAAGGAACAAAGTATTTATTATCTTTAGAGTGATGGTAAAAACATTAAAATAAGTAAACTGAATATATGAAAAAAGATACTAGGGTATTGTTACATTTGAGATGTGAAAAATCAACATGGAGTATTACAAAAGACAGCATAGTATTTTACATGGACAACATAAAAAAGGAGAAAAAATTTCATAGACCACAATTTAAGGTTAGTAATTGGAACATGGGAAAGATGTGAAGTTGTTAGCTAAGTAAGTAGCTACAGCTCAGATGTATTAATGTACAGATCTCAAATTCAGTTCCAGATCTCTACTTGCTTGTACAGTAAGTCATTGAGGTAAATTAGAGTAAAAACTTCTTAATTAGAGGAGGCCTACAATTAAAATACTATTAAAAACATAACCATATCATTATGATAGGATAATAATATAATGAATGGTAATACTTTAAGGTTTGATTAAAGCTGAACCATTTGATATCTTTACCCACTCGATTATCAAAGATATCCTCAATGAAAATTATTTTTGAAGTTCATGTCATCCTCACTAAATATTTTTAATATTATATCTCCACTTCATTGGTTATTTAAATAATAATAATGGTTAATTATTTGATAAAAAACAGTGCAAAATTTTAGGAATTTTAAGACAATTCATCCATTTCATAAATTTCAAAAAATAAAATTAATGTTTTGACGACTTGTTGATGATTTTTCAGAGTTTTTTTTTTAATAAAGTAATTTCAAGAATTACAAGGGAAGAAGCATATAGACTTCATGCGCGCGCACATTAATATAAAGTGATTATAATTTATCCAAGAGAAATAAGACATTTTAAAGTTAAATTTTAAATATTAATAGTCAAAAATATTACATAGTAATTAGATTGATATCATCTTAATACTGTTTCAATTATAATTAATAAGCATGATTTCATTAAATTTATAATGTGTTATTGAATGAGGTAGCAGAGTGCATACAATGATGAATATCTTTTTTTTGAGCACATGATAAGTTTAAATTATACAAAATGAAATATAATCCTTTCTAATCGAGCAATAATTATATTACCGCTTTTGAAAGTTTGTGCTATGGTTTTATGAAATAAAACATATTTAAATTTGTTTTGTAAAGTTATGTAATTTTTTTGGTCCATATATTATTTTGATTATTATAGGTAAAATTATTTTGTGACTATTATACTTACATAGTATGATAATCTGTAAGAAAACACTGGTTCTGAAAATACTACTGAAATTAAGACTAGCATTGAACCAGAATAAATGTAAAATGTAAAGTAACTTTGAAATTAGTAATTCCATAGGTATACTTTGTAAATAAAAAATAAAAAAAGAGACAGAATTAACTTGACAGTTTTCTAACCTACATTCTTTTATTTATTTTTCTGTTGGCATTACAGACTTTGTAGATCTTTTGCGGGCTTAACAAGCCTTTCCGTATCTGGCTATCTTGTTCTATTTCTTTCCAGTTATCAGCACAAAGCTCTATTGCATCTTAGTTGATTCTATCTACCCATCTAGTTTTTGGCTTTCCATGTGGTATTTTGCCTTTTATTGAGGCATTTATTTTTATAGTTCATATAGGCTTCCAGATGTATTGCTACGAGCTACATGCCTCACCGATCTTCACCTCCATGCTCTCATATCATGGGATATTGATTGACCAGTTTCTGTAAGCAGTTCTTTATTGGTCTTTCTTCTCCATGTTTCAGTACTCTGATCCCAGATCGCCCCAGTTATGATGATTAACTTAATGATTCTAAAGAAGTAATTTAGGCTGGAGAAGTAGTTATTAAAATAAAGAAAATAACTTTCGTAAATATAGTAAAGTTTTTACATATTTAAGAAGGGTTGAGATTAAAATAAGGAGGTTATATCTTCAAATGACAAAGACATAAATGTTTCATAAAAAGAGCTAGCTCATTAAATTTTTGACACCTGAAAAATCGCACTGTCTATTGCTCTTAATTAAGATGAACAAAACAATTATTTTAATTATAAAAATAAAATGAATGAAAAATTGTTTAACAAATTTTTTTCCCCTAAATATTATCATGGTCACTATGTCTGAATTGTTATGGTGTACATTTTTTATGAATTAATGATTGCATTTAGTTTTCAAATGATGTGAATAGTGGTTAAATAAATTCATTCAATACCTTACTCCATTTTGAAGTATGCCATTCAACAGCACAATCCACTACATTACACTGTTGACGATCAATTGGTTGAGGCTGGGGGCACATGTGATTAGGAACAATAACTGTATTACCACCTCCAAGAGTTACCTCATGAATACAGTGCACCTCTCTGGTCTGTATGCCAATGCCACATGGCTTCGAACATTGTTGAAACTCAGTCATATTCCACCTGGGAGGGCAAGGATGTTCATTACATGTTCGAGTTAGGGCTTCTGGTCTTGTTTGGGTTGAGCAAAGAAATGGTCCCACAACTTTTTCATCATCTTTTTGAATACACATTATAATGGATTCTTGCACACCTAAAATATAAATAAATGACAATGTTTTGATTTTAAGTATATGAAAGTTTTGCTTTAAAATTTCATAGCATGAAATTTAAGAGAAATTATTTCTGATTTTATGTAACTTCCGTAGAAAGGATAAAATATCCAAGAGTTAAATTAATTAGAAAAATTAGAAAATCTTATTAGAGAGGTATAGTATTTTAGTCAAGGAAGGAATTATGGTAAGAGTTGAGAAATTTTTCTAAGAGTTTTAATGTAATGGAGAAAATGAAAATAGGTTCAGCAGATGAAAGCTGTAGAAGGAAGAGGAACTTTATTCTACAAGGGAATTAAGATTTTGTTCCCACGCCATAGAAACAATTGAGTTTTGATAGGAAAACCAACTTTCATTGGAAAACTCGTATTTCTAAGGGCTTAGTGTTAGGCGTGTTCCAAAAACTATTCCTATTTTCCAATTTTTTTATTGGATTTTTGAGGCAATCTCTTTGGTTCTTCATAATCACTCAACATTTTAACAAAACAACTCAACAATAATAATTTCTGAAAAATTTATATAGGCCCATTGTTATTAAAAGTATATGGGCCATCGTGGGGGAATGGTTTTTGGCTATTTCGTTATAGTGGTCAATTCTAACCGTTGGCCAACTGCAAGTGAAAACCATTTCCGAACATTGGGCCAACAATGAATGATCACTGGATTATCAGCTGCAAATAAGCATAAGAATCCAGAATTGTAAATATTTTAATTTTGAAATAGTCACACATTTAAATCTTATTTATATATTTTTATTTTTTTAGAATTGACAGGCATTATAAAATATGTGAATAAAATGCAACATGGTAATTTATGTTGTTGTAAACCAGATATAAGATATAATAGAAAGATTTTGAAATTATGGAGTTTTGGTAAGTTCTCACAGTAGTATTGGCATCATACATGTAATTGTCATTAGGTAATTCATGATTACTATTAGCAATGTTTTTTGTGACTATTTATAGAGAACTTAAAAATGAGCAAACTGGTCGAAACGTAGTTAAATATCACATAAATATTTACAATATATATGTATATATATATTGTAATGTAAATATTGCACAGTGATTTTAAATATTGGCGCAAAGGCAGTGACATCACACACTACTGCCAAAAATGGACAAAGAGACAAAGAATGACAGATGGAGGGAGAAGAAGAGCCACAAGTTAAGGTAGAAAGTGACCAGCCGGCTAGTAAAGAGGTTTGAGAGAAGAAAAAGTGACAAACAAGTAGTCAGTGTTAGTAGAAGATTGAATAGAAGGTTGTAAAAGTTGAATACAACAATACAGAGGAGTCACTGCAGAACAGGTTGAGTGAAAAATAAATAGTGACAGTTTGATAGCGTGCCAAGACTAGACTCTGACCAAATGAATGAAAATCCATAAATGTTATGTACAATTAATGTATAATTGTATATTTATAATTGAGGGATGTGTGTTTGTTGTCTCAACCCAACCTGAGAAATAATTATTGTTTAAATTAAATCTAAATTGATTCAGAAACTGTTTTGTTTACTTTTCAAAGGAAATGTAACCTTACAATATATATAAATGTTTGATTTATTTGTTTAGTAGACAGAGATTCACATGTACCAAAAACAGCATTCAGCCAAAACCTAATTTAAAAAAAAAAAATTATAAAATTAACTTATTAACATTTATTTGATGTATAAAACATTTAAATAGAATATAAATAAGATCATGGGTATGACACAAATGACAAAGAAAGGACTAGGGTTCAGAATAAATTTGCAACTGATAGCTTCCAAATGATAAGAATTCAGAACGATCGCACTGAGTCAGGTACAAGGGACTAATGAATGGACCAACTAAGCCACAAGTCAAATGATGAAGGCGGGACTTGCTCCTACCTCCTTAAGTGGTGACAGCCAAGGCGGGAAGGCATATGTCCCGGCCGGACCAGTGACCCAACTCACTGCCAGGAAGGCATATATCTCGTCTGCACCAGTGACCCAACTCCTAATGGGAAGGTATGTATCTCCTCTACAGTCAAAGGGCTAGGGTTCCCGCTTGCAGCTCACTACTCACTGCAGCACTCCGAGAAACTCTCCTTCACTTTTGTCGTGAACACTCTGCCAGGACAGAAGCTGATTTGGCCTCTGTTCTGTTTTCTGACGAGTCCAGGTATAGCCATTATGGTGCAAGCAGATGTGTTCAAGTGTGGATAAGACCAGGTAAGCAATATGCTCAATGCAATATAGCAGAAAGAGTGCAGTTCTGAGGATCAGTGATGGTTTGGGGTAGAATATGTTTAGAGTCAAGGACAGACCTGCATGTGTTCCGAAGGCCGACTAGACTAGGCCGACGCTCACAGCACACACGTACATCACTGACATTCTCGAGGAATATGTGGTACCTCTTGGCCCATCTATTGCCTTCCGTTTTAATTTTATGCAGAATAATGCTCGGCCGTACATCAAAAATGTTGTACAGGACTACCTAGACGAGGTTAGTATCCATACCTTGGAGTGGCCAGCTCGCAGCCCGGACTTCAACCCTACTAAGCATCTTCGGGACCAGTCTAGGACGTTCATCCATGACAACAAAATCCTCCAAATACATGAAATGGATCAGATTCAAGATCAGGTAACTTATTTGTAGTAGGCCTATTATATTACAGGCAAGTTATTCAAGAAAAGGGAGGCAGCTCGGTCATGTAGCTATTTCACCAGCATATGGATTTTATGTTATTTTTGTTAATTTTATAATGTTAAACTTTAATAATAAATTAATATTTACTAACATACTTATTAATAAATTGTTAGGAATTGATTACCAAGAACTGCTAAGCAAAGTTTGCATAGTTGATCAGTTGTTTGGATTTAATGATAATAAACAACCCGAAAATGAAACTTTTAATGAGATATCATAGTTAAAAAAATATATTGATAAGGAAAAGGTGAAATCTTGGGGACCAGCAAATTAACTTCATTTACTACTTTTATTATTTAAATGACTCCTTTAATAAGTTTATAGTATTTTGGAAGAAGTGCTTGAATGTGTATGGACTGCTGGCACAAAACATTTAAGTTTTAACAACTGCGTTATTATTGAAGTCATAAATTAGACGTCAAATACATCATCAAATTATTGTTTCTCAAAAATACACTTATATATCTAAATTATCAACATTATTTCAGCTGAATACTATGTCACCTGATTTACATTTGCACAAGATTATCATTTTGTAAAATTAATTATTGTAATACAAATTTGAACTATTGTTTGGATACGTCATTCCTTAAGATGAATGAACCAACTTTTAATCAAGAACTTCCCCCCTCCCCTCTGATCAATAGTGTACCGCTTTACCAACTAATCAGCCCCCTCCCGCGATCAATGGTATCCCACTTCACCAATGTTAAAATCTGGTCACCTTATACTAGAGACGCAGATTTCATAATGAAAAATAAATTAGATGCATTTTATTTTTGTTTAAAAGAGTGTTAATTTGCTATTTTACATTATGATTTTTTAAAATGAATTTTTATTGGTTTCCCCCTTTATTTGTGGTCTTCTACAAGCAGAAAATGGCATAATATATTGAGTAATTTTTTTTTTTCTGTTGGAAAAGAAATAACGATAAAATTTAAGGTGCGCCAGTTTTTATGACCACCAGTTTATATATATATATATATATATATATATATATATATATATATATATATATATATATATATAGATAGATATGAGTGTGTGTGCTTGCATAAATTACATTTATAGTTCTCTATTATAAATAAATGAATGAGTATACATTTCCTATTTAAATTTTACCTCACAAGATTGGATCAGTGAGCAAACTTTGCATCCAAAATGAAAAATCTAAAGAAAATCTGTAGTGAAACTAATTTTCATATTTATAAAATATAGAACAGTATAAGTAACATAAAAAAAATTTAAAAATATTTGTTATATATAATAATACTCACCACCAAGGCAACTCGCACTACAATGAGTGTAGCCTTGCATTTTCCAAACATAGGTTTTGCCAGTCTGATGAGGGGCTACTTTGATTGAACTTTCAGTGTTTTGTGATCTAAAATAGCTATCTGCATATCTTGGGTCGCTATAACCGTCTCTAACTGCTTCCATCCTGAAAAATGTTATTAAAACATTTTATGTAAAAAAATAGAGTAAATAATAACAAACCAAACAATTATAGTCCAGTGTTGAAAGATTTTAAATAGAAGAAGAATAAGAAGGAATTCAATTTTATTCTGGGACGTTTATTCCTGTAATAATAACAAACATGAACAATGACAATTATATTATATTATAGATTTGTCTGGCACATAATGACTGGCAAATAATAATTAGGTTACAAAGTTATGTAATGTAACATTAAAATAAAGTACTAATCTAAATATATAAATAACATGATGAAATTAAAGGTAAGTAGATGTCCATGTGTTTACTTATTTGCACAGTAGGCAATACAAATAATAACAGTAAATTAGCAGTAGAATAAATTTGGTAACGTATCAACTGGTTAAAATATAGTCAATGATGAGGTTTTGCGTATGGAAGTGGATAAGGAATACTAAAACAAGGTAGGACGCATTATAAAGGATTTTTCAAAATAAACTTTCTTATGAGAAGGAATATGCATGTTTGTGGGCTGGGATCTGGTGTTAAAAGTATAGACACAGGAACAGGAGGTAAACAAGTGAAGAATATAAGAAGATTTTCTGGTTGTAAAGATTCAGAAAAAGAATATACCTAGGAAATAATGTTGTCGAGAAACTGGGTATAGCCACTTCAACTCAGAATACCAACTGGAGACGTGGGAGCATCTAGGGACTCTGCAGATGAATCTAATGAAAAAATTCATTAGCCTTTTCAATTTAACCTCAAATCTACTAGACAGTCCACAGTAGACAAGGCAGCCACAATTTAAGTTGGGAAAAATAAGAGAGGAAACTAGAAGTTGACGGGTTTTAAGAGGGACAGAATCGTGGAATCTCAGAAACTGTTTAAGATTAGCAGTAGATTTTCTGATAATTTGAGAAGCATAGTGATTCCAGGACAGGGTCGATCAAATATTAACCCAAAGTTTCTAATAGAAGTGTGGAAGCGAATAGGTTGGCCATTAAGGTAGAGTAGGGGATAATAAGGAAGGGCATTAAGAAGATGCTTAGACCCAATGAGAATGGCTTTGATCTTCTCAATTTCCAGCCTCAAATTATTGTTAGTTACCAATGTGTTGATATTGTCTATATCTTCTTGAATTTTGGGTCACCTCAAATATCTCTGAAGGATGAAAGGATTGGTAGATCTAGAGGTTGTCAGCATATAAATGATATTGTGAATGATGGATGGAATAAGGGAGGTCATTGATATAGATGGAGAAAAGGGTTTATGAAAGAGAAGATCCCTGAGGAACACCATGAGTTAATAAGAGGGATGAGTGAGGAGCTTTATTGGGAATGACGACTGTTTGGGGATCTATGAGACAAGAAGGAATGAAACCACATTAAATGTTTATCATTATTGACATTAAATACAGTCTTTAATGTTAATAAGTGATAAAATAAATAATAAATGAAGTTTTTGGAACTGCTAAAAAGTGTTTAATAGATCTTTATAGAAGCTATGAAAACAGAAGTACAAGTGGTTTTAAATTATGAAAGATATTTAAAAAATTACTGCAGAGTGGAGAGGGGACCAGGCTTCTTCAAGGTCATAGTGCCATCAGAGAAAGAGAGAGAGTAAAAACAATACAAAATAATTGAACCAATAAATTAAAAGAAGAAAGATATGGGTTGATGGTTGACTGTAGTGAATAATGAAGAGAAGGATAGTTGGGGTGATCTGTCAAAATAAATATAAAAAATCAGTTAAAATAAATAATAATATTATTATTTATTTTTGCCATTTTTATTTTGGCTATCCTTCTCTTCATTAAAAGAAAAAAATTCTCTTAAAGATAAAACTAACAATAAAACATCAATACATATATGTGAGTGTATATCAGATTTTTTTATTAGAATCAAACTTTTCCTCACATAAGGATTGATCCTCTTTTAATCTAAAGAATAGAACAGAAATTATTGTTAATTTATTAATGTGCTAAAACTTTATAGCTTGCCTGTTTCCATTTAGACATGGTGCTTCAATACAAGATTCTGTTGTTGCAGGTTTGGGTCCTTGGCAATAGGAGTCAGGAACACGAGCAAAGGTTTGTGAAAAATCAAGAAATATTGAACAAGGCACATCTCTTTTTCGAATGCCTTCACCACAACTTACACTGCATTCACCCCAAGGTTCTGGCTTAAAGCTGAAACAAATGTTGTGTTACTTATAATCATTTAATAACAGGTATGTATTTATTAGAATAGAAAGATAATTCAATAAGTTAATGTATTCCCAGACTTATTTTATTAAATTTAGAATACATTAGAAAATGAAGCTTAAAAATAAGTTTACATATCAATAATAAATAAATATAATAAAAGTTGTTATATCAAACAGTATGACTCATACAAGTATACTTTTATTTTAATTTTAAAATGATTTCTATGCCCCTTTGATATGAGGAGATAGATAGAAATGAAATTATTACAAAGGGCCAAACATACCGGAGGTATCGACTAAGGAATGACATTAGCCATAATGAGTCTTTATAAGAAAACTAGGAATGTGATTAGGACCAGGAACCATACATAGCAAGAATTTAAGATGGCAATAAGTCTATAACTTTTCATTATAGTCTTGGACATAACATCAGGGAAAGTTAAACTACAAATGAGATAGCTAAGGCACAGATATCTACAAACCAGTAAATTATCCATGATAGCATTTGCTGATGATCCTGTCTTGCTAGCTGCCAATGAACAAGATCTCCAATACAATGAAAACAACCTCCAAGATGACTTAAATAAATTCTGTGTTTATCTGATTTTTAGATAAGTAACAGTCATGGACAAACCAAGGTTTGATAGACTTAGGTATAAGCCTTCGATTTAGACCAAAAGTGGCACTGGTTTTGGACATAGCCTAGTGCATATTTATAGACAGAAGGCAGCATCAGCAGATACCTATAAACCCCTCACCACCTATTCCAGGAGTATATTCTATTATGTTAGTAAACAGGTTGGCTTTAGTGTTTTCCCATTTCATCATTTTGGTGCATTTTTTTGTTAGCCTGATGGGTATGCTTAGTTAAATAATTATTTATTAATATTAAGGAAAATGGTCTAAATTAGAAATTAAGCTATTTACATCTGAAAAATCTAAAATATCATTTATGTTATTGAATTTGCACCAAGTCAGGTCATCTTTGTTCTGCCGATTATGATTTATAAAGGTGAACTGGCCTGAGCAATCACTTATAATAATAATAATAAACAATAATAATAAATAATAAGCAATCAGTTAACCCATATAATAAAACAAATCCTTGTTATTCCATTGACTACATGATAACTCTATCCTTCCTATTAATTACTTCTTTTAGGCTTATTCTTTCACTGAACAAGTTACTATCATTCTAAGCATTTTTATCAAATTGCTTTAGATTGTCAACATGACAGTTAAGGTCTTTGGATTAGTAATTAAAATTAAATTATTAGTATTTTTGACTTTAACATTGCAAATTGATTTTTTCAACTAGCCATTGCATTTTCTAGATCCAAATTATCATTTAGATTTACCAATACAACAACAGAACATATGTTAGTATGATGAATCTTAATCTAATCAAATATTCACCTATCACAGATCACATTGGAGACAGCTTGTTGATAACAGAGTGGAAAATGATAGACCTCCACTTCCTCTTCCAAATTTCTTCTTCATTTAGACTGAAGACTGAATATAATCTATCACATATAGTCACTGAATATAACCTATATGATAAGTCTATCACACTTCCTCACCATTTCAACAGATGAGATTATATTCAGTCTTCTGTCTAAATGAAGCCAGGTTTCATAAATACAAATTATACATGAATTGGAAAATATTCTTGAGCTATTGAAAATTAGAGAAGCCATATACCACCACCTATTCCAGGAGTATATTCTATTATGTTAGTAAACAGGTTGGCTTTAGTGTTTTCCCATTTCATCATTTTGGTGCATTTTTTTGTTAGCCTGATGGGTATGCTTAGTTAAATAATTATTTATTAATATTAAGGAAAATGGTCTAAATTAGAAATTAAGCTATTTACATCTGAAAAATCTAAAATATCATTTATGTTATTGAATTTGCACCAAGTCAGGTCATCTTTGTTCTGCCGATTATGATTTATAAAGGTGAACTGGCCTGAGCAATCACTTATAATAATAATAATAAACAATAATAATAAATAATAAGCAATCAGTTAACCCATATAATAAAACAAATCCTTGTTATTCCATTGACTACATGATAACTCTATCCTTCCTATTAATTACTTCTTTTAGGCTTATTCTTTCACTGAACAAGTTACTATCATTCTAAGCATTTTTATCAAATTGCTTTAGATTGTCAACATGACAGTTAAGGTCTTTGGATTAGTAATTAAAATTAAATTATTAGTATTTTTGACTTTAACATTGCAAATTGATTTTTTCAACTAGCCATTGCATTTTCTAGATCCAAATTATCATTTAGATTTACCAATACAACAACAGAACATATGTTAGTATGATGAATCTTAATCTAATCAAATATTCACCTATCACAGATCACATTGGAGACAGCTTGTTGATAACAGAGTGGAAAATGATAGACCTCCACTTCCTCTTCCAAATTTCTTCTTCATTTAGACTGAAGACTGAATATAATCTATCACATATAGTCACTGAATATAACCTATATGATAAGTCTATCACACTTCCTCACCATTTCAACAGATGAGATTATATTCAGTCTTCTGTCTAAATGAAGCCAGGTTTCATAAATACAAATTATACATGAATTGGAAAATATTCTTGAGCTATTGAAAATTAGAGAAGCCATATACATTCCAAAATATAATAAAGACCAGTCGCTGCAGTACAGCAGGTAGATATAGCCGTGAACCAGGATTGTCAATATTCACTGAGATTTTTTAATCAGATTGCAACCTCATTCTGAATGAAAACTGTTCTAGATGAGTGTGGAATTTTG